ATCCATCCATTCATCATCCATCCATTCATCATCCATCCATCCATCCATCCATCCATCCTCTGAACCTTTAAATCAACAGCAGGGTATCCTGCCCCCCCCCAGTCAGACTGAATATATAATCTGTGAATCTGTTGAGTTTCTGAAACATTTCGCTTCATCTACTGATTTTATTTTAGATGAATTAACTTTTTACTGCTGAACCTGTTGATTCTCTGCACAGTTATGAGATGGAGTCACATGGTTCAGAAAAACAGGACTTTTTATAACGTTCATTACTGCAGACATTTACAGATGGAGGTAAAGCATAAACATCAGACCATAGATGCTGCAGTTAGTGACGCAGCGACTCCAATAAAGGACGGAGATAAACACACATGCTGAAATCTTTAGCTACGTTAACTCTGATTTAAAATCAAGATTTAAGGCAAAACTTTGTGGTCATTTACAAATAAACTATTACAGCTAGAGAGCAGCATCCTGATGAAGGTCTATTAGCAGAATTTATCACAATCAGCAAAGAAAATAACGCTAAAACTCACCAGAAAAAAACTGCAGCTAACCGACTTTAGCATAAAGATCATTTTAGGTTTTTATTTTGTCCACTTGGACTCAAAGATTAGTTATAAATCCACAGAACCAAACGGACTAAACTTCTAAATACTCAATTCAAGGTGATAAAGAAGAAAATGGCGGCAGAGAAAAGATGAGTCACTTTAAACTTAGCTGCTACGTGTTTTCCCGCTATAATAAACCTGGCTGACTAAAGCTAGCGATGCTAGCACAATAAATTTCATTCATTTCTTTACTTACTTTTAAATCATCCCTATAAGGTCTAAAGATGTGATGGAAACCCTGATGATGGTCGACTCGGCTTCTTTCAGCTGATGAAAACGGAGCAGATGCAACTTACCCGGAACACGACTCGGAAAAACAGCACGAAAAGGAAAAACGTAAAAAACAAGAAGTTCTTCCGACTTCTCTGGCAATCGGACGCTTCAGGCTTTCATCAACATAAAATACAAACAGATCTAAACAGGAAAAACATGCAGGAATTTACCTACAGATTTAAGTCTAAACCTGATGAAGGTGGAGTTCTGCCTGATGCTGGGCTCGACTTAAACTGGTCATACTGGTGTCTTTAGCTTTAGTCCTCGCTGTCAGAATAGCAGCAGGTTTGAAAACCACTAACTTACCCTAACTAACTAGCCCTAGTTACCTAAATGTTTGCATCACTAACGATCCTGAAGCTGCACTAATAAAGCCTCGTCTTTAAAAAGCATCCAACTTACAGAGCAGATCTTCATCCTCAGATCAGCTACCGGAAACATTTTAACTCCATGTTTAGGAGAAAGGTCGCTTAAAGAAGACGAGTCCATTTCGATCATAACCAGAGTTTATATTCGTGCAGAGCTGAACGGCGTTAACACTCAGAGGTCACTGCTGAGGTCCCTGACCATGATGCGTCCTCCACCGGTCGGTCTTATGACGCCATCACACCAAACGCAGCGATCCTTTGGTTCCACCCCCTTTGGTCGCTGGATGCTCAGCATCATCAAACAGAACGATCTTCTATCTACTTACCTCAGTTATTCTACCCATCAAATAAGGAAAACATGATGCTGGCTTCCCTCCGTCCCCATTGGTCCATTTCACTAAGCAGGTTTAACAAATTGATCCGGCCTAAAGTCGGGAACTCAAGAGTTTCACAACAGCTGCTATCAGTTAGTTCAATCTATTTTAAGTAGGTCTACTAAGATTTACCAGCTGGACTGAAAATGTCTTTATGACATCTGGAAAACATTTTGTCATTAAAATAAAAATGCTGACCAGTAATATTAGGAATATGGAGATCTGAAACTATTTTCTATACATCCAGAAAGTTTATTCTAGATGTGGAGAATGTTATTTTGTTTGACAAAGAAAAACAGTTTTTTTCAAATATCAGGAATACATATCCAGTAAAACTAGTACGTATCAAATTGGCTTGCCATAGACGTTGTTACGGTGAAAATATTGCAGGTTTATTTCTTGAATGGTCGTAGATCAGTGGATCTATTTAGGTGAAATCATCTGTCAGCAGGTGAAGATGAAGAAAAAAGACGTTATTCTAATAAATAGAACCTGTTCATCATCTCATGGGTTCCTCCTCATGTTGATTCAGTCTCTTTTACTCAGTAAATCAGTGGCTGTTTGCTGCAGCGTTTCCGATGTTATCGTCCCAATAAATGGTCGTTATTAGCGGCTATCAGTCCCATAGAACGGCTTCAGATTGGGCCAGTAGGCTCAGTAGGTTGGTATCATCGAGGGAATCCTAATCCTAAAGTAATTCCTTTTCCCCGGTGGAATTAATGAATCTATTTATGTGTAATCTGAAAATAATCTCAGTAGTTCTTCATGTTCTGTAAATATAACTAAATAAAAATGAAATAATCTGCATCTCGCTCATATTAAACAAACCAAAGCCAGTAATCTCCTCTCCTGTCACTGAGTTGTAGAATCCTCTCCCTATAAATATTTAATTCTCTGTGAATTAATGCCGATCATTCTTTAATAAGATCCTTGTCAAACTGACATTAAATGTTTGTTTTTAAAACTTGAGTCTAAAGGATCTAGTTAATGATAGATTTATATTTATGCACAAAACTACGACATAAATCTGATTAAATGAGGAAATAAAACGGTGTGATTGGCTGGAAGGAGACTGAGTTTACTGAAGGAAACCTGCTGCTGACCAGGTTAGCTCTGGGAGGATGTTACTATGGCAACAGAAAGAGGAAACTCTTTGTGAAACACAAAAATCAGAGTTTCCCTGATTTCAGTTTTAGAAAACTAAAGAGTTTTCAGTAAACCTGCTTTGTGAAACGAGCCCAGATCATCACCCAGTTCACCCAGTACCACCAGCTGCTGCTGGAGCCTGACCACATTGGGGGAGTGATGGACTAGTGGTTAGAGCAGTGAGCTGAGAACGTTGCTAATACCCGCTTCGTTCCCCACTCAGGGTCCCTGAGCAAGACCCTTAACCTTCCAATGCTCCCCGGGCGCCGCACCGCGGCAGCCCACTGCTCCCTGAGGGGAGGGGTTAGATGCTCAGGTTTTTGGCATCTTTGTGTCTCCAGGATCCAGACGGTTGATCAAACTCTGGTAGTTTTGCTTTGCTGACCCATAATCCTCCTGACCGTCAGAGAGGAATAACATGGAAATGGTTCAACCAATCAGCACGCCTGTGTTTGGTGTGACGGCGCCGTTAGTCTGAAGGATTACCATGGTTACACAGACTGTGGTCTATAGACCAACACTCAGCTTCCAGTGGATCAGCTTTCCTACAGTCCCTGGGTTAGCAGTAGCATCATGCTAACAGTCATGTGTTTATTGTTTCTATTCTTCTGTCTGCTTCATATCTCAGACTGTTAAAGTTAGAACATTTAAAGCGTTTGTCTAAAGATGGCGGAGCTCCTGCAGTGACCACAGAGTGAACTCTGGCTGACAACATGGAGGCGGACCTCAGAGACGTCATTAAAATCCACTCAAATGAATCCGGTTCTTAGTCTCAGATTGTCGGTTTAGTAGCTGGATTAACTGGAACTAAAGTCTGATTCCTTCCTATAAACTAGGAACTAAGGGTCCTCACATGTAGAGTAAAACACTTTGCAGAGGCTCCTTTCCTCGATCCAGCGGACGCAGCTTTAAATCAACGCTTTGATGGCGTTCCAGGTGGGCGGGACATGTAGCGCTGTAGCAGCCTGGTCTATTCACTAGGACCTCGCTAGAGTCACGTTAAGATAAACTTTACCTAGAAGGATTAAACCGTTTATACGGTGAAAAGCCTCAGCAGGACGGAGCTGATGGAAAAACACGCCGACTACCAGCTTTAAGCGCCACTTTAGTTTCAAAAAACGCAAAATTCCTCTTTGTATAAAAGTAGCAGAAGATAGAAATAATGAATAATCATTATAAATAATAATAATAATAATAACAGGCCTTGCTAATGCAGCATTAGAGTAGAGGAAAGGAGGATCTACCTGCGGAGGCCGGAGGAGCGTCTCTGTTCTTCTCTTGTCTCTTCAGCAGGAGCCTCTCTTGGAACTGCTGGTCTCGCTTTTCCAGAAGCCTCTGATTATATAAATCCAGCTGGAACATCAGTGGAACATTTTAACCACACAGGAGGCAGATTATCCTGTTTATAGATTTACTAACATCTAAATATATTATTACATTTCAGAACGTTTGTTTCATGATAATCTTATTAATCTACTGAATGTTTATTCATGTCGCTGGTCGTTAGCGGCATCATCTCTGCTGATCTCACCTTCTCTCTCTGCTTGGTCTTTATGTCATCGTCCGTCTCCAAGGTTACGGAGGGTAAACTGAACTGAACCGATTTAGCGGCTTTAGCGGGCGGCTGGGCGCTCAGAGACTTCACCGTCTCGATCAGATTCAGGCACCGAGCCACCGTCACAGACATGGCCGCCTGGCCGGAGCCGGAGGCGCTCGTGGTCGCCGGTGCTCCCGTGGGGGTGGGCGGGGGCTGCAGGGAGCTGGAGGCGGCGGCCTGGCCGATAAAAGGGAGCAGCGTGGGAGCGGAGGTCACCGTGAACGGGGGCGCTACGGAGCGCTGGGGGG